GAGGGGGGAGGGAGGTCAAAGAGAACAGCTGAAAGAACACTGAATCCGGCTCCTTCAGTCCGAATTCAAGCCTTGCCACATTCTAGTTCAGTAATCTGTGCAGAGCTAGTATCTCCCTGTGCCTCAGTTTTTCCGAAGCAGGGATGATAACAGAATGATCTCCTCGGGTGGTTCTGAGGATTTACTGCAAAGCCCTGGGGTGGTGCCAGGCACATCTGAACAGCTGCTAAGCCTTAGCAACCACTGCTACTGGGGTCCATGAGTGAGGCGGCCTGAGGGAGCCTGTGGGAGGAAAGCAGGGGACACGCTGGGCCCTGGCCTCGGCCCTCTTCCTCCTGCCTGCCCTCCAGCTATCCTCCCTCCCTCCCTCCTCCTCCCATCCTTCCTTCCACAATTATTCATTATTCCATGAGCCGGCACCATGTAGATCCTGTGGGATTCTGGAAGCTCCGTGAGCCGGATCTGTTCTCCGAGCCTGATGCCGGACTGCAGGAGACAAACACACCGGTTTTGCCTGAGGCAGTGCTGGCTCTTATGCGGCAGCCCCGATGGACTGGATGTGGGCTGTTTTCCTGGAAACAGTCCCAGCATGGGTAGGGGTGAGAAAGGACTGGGGCAGTGGGGGCGGTCTCCCGAGGGACAGTGCACACATGCAGGAGCTGTCTTGGTGGGAAGCCAGCCCTGCACAGTGGCCTCGGGCAGCCACCCCTTTGCCCAGCATGTCCACAGAGCAGATGGAACCCATGGGCTTCGCACCCCAGCTCGCCAGCCCTGGGGGGCACCTGCCACCCACCCGGAGGACCTGAGAGCTCGGGCGCAGCAGGGTGGGCCCAGTGACGGTGCGTGGGCAGAGCTGGCGTGGGCACACTCCTGTCCCTGGCACGGGGACAGAGGCAGTCAGGGATGACTCCGCATCAGCTCAGAGAGGCCAGAGTTGCCTGATGTTTGTTCACAGGCTGGTCTAGGGGCGGTCTGGGATATTTTAAGTCAGATTCGCACAAAATGCACAGCGACTGAGTAATGCAGACTGCTGTCCAGGCCGTGTGGGCCTCGTGTGTCCAGCATGTGAGCCCGAGGGAGGAGGCTTACCTGGGAGGAACGAGCTCCAGAGCAACATGCACTCGTCCAGGGTCGCCTGGCTGCTGGTGACTGATGCAGAGAGCGGAGGCCTCCTCCATTTGTCCTCAAGTCATACTCAGAGTCACCTGACTGCAGTGCCCCAGCAGCTGGAGCCTTGGGTTACATGGGTTTTCCTCCTTCTGCAGGTGCTGTTTCTCGGGACGATGCCGTCCACCTCTTATCCACAGCCCCTGGCCTGGAGCCCAGCGGAGGTCCTCTCCTCTGTGTGCGCAGCCCTCAGACCCAGGCTGCAGAGAGAATGTAACCTCCACCCGGGGAGGGGCCTGCCCCATCACCTCCCTGAACCCATCCTCCGCGGTGTGGCGGAGCTGCTGCTGACTGAGCGTCCTCACTGTCCACCACTCTCCGTAGCTGGACAGAGAGGGAGTGAGCCATGGTCGAATTCCGTCCACCAGAAATTCAAATGCTGAAGACGTAAGCCCCAGCACCTCAGAACAGGAGGTATTTGGAGGTGGGTCTGTAAACAGAAAACCAAGCCACAGAGAGACATTCAGGTGGGCACTGCACCCATGAGACTGGCGTCCTCAGGAAAGGGGCAGTTTGGGCACGAAGAGCACACAGAGCGAAGGTGGATGGAGAGACCTCCTTCCCGGAGTGGAGCTGCCCTCAGGGGAACCATCCTGCGGGGCTGCAGAACTGCGAGCCCACACAGCTCCATCCTCCCGCCACCCTGGGCAGCGCTTGGCCACAGCCATCCTCCTCATGGTACCCGACACACCCTTTCCATACATGCACACGGCCAGCGCATCCCTCCTTGGGTCTGGTATTTAAAGAAGATGAATGTTTAAGTCATGGTCCCCCGTCTCCCTTGCTTCTTCCAAACCAGAAAGGGACTGGGCAGTGACTGTCCCTGAAGACAGTGGTTGGCACACAGCTGACATCCAGTAGGCAACTGTGAACGAACCAATGAATGAAAATGCTTGCTGGGACTTCCTCCCAGCTCAGTTAACCAACCTTCTGGCCTGCCGGGCTCCTTGGGCTCAGCTTCTGTATCCAGCCATCCTGAAGCCCCTCTGCTGTTGTTACTTATTCCCGATTCGTAGTGGTTCCCATTAAAGCTGTGGCTGAAAAGATACTTTCATTCGAAATCCTCATGGTGGTTCCCCCGCTTCGGCTGCCTTCTCCCGCTCTGAAACAATCACTTTTTCTTAAGGTTGTGAACTCTCTCGTGTTTGCCTCTCCTCCCTGACAGCCTTTCTCTGATCCTACTGGAAGGACTTTCCCTGGCCCATGTGGTGACACCCACAGGTCTTAATGGAAAATAAATTATTAACCACTGAGCCTGAGAAAGACTCCCTGAGAGGCTTTTATCCGAACTCTCCACTCCCAGATGAGGCCATAGTTCTCAAAATGAGCTCTGTGAACGTGAGTCACAGCAGCCATAAAGTCCTGAGGAGGGGTCTGCCAGGTGTTTCACCAACTGCAGAGGATTTTTGCCAGGATTTCACTTCATACTACACTGTGTGAGTGAGAAAAGCTGGAGAAGAAAAGAGACCCTTGGTCCTGGCCTCTGGAGCCCTGGTGAGAACCATGGCTTCAGGGACATTGTCCTCCTGCTGTCCTGGTCTCCCTGTCAGGATAATGGGACGAGCAAGACTCTTTGGAAGAGCTGCAGCGATCTGGGGCATCAAAGCTCTTCCAAAATTATAAAAATTCTCCAGACACATAAAATATACTTTTTGACTATGGCTTTTGTAGTTGACTTTTTAAAATTGTTGTTATTAGAAAAACAGGGCCAGTTTTTAAAGGAACTTTATTTCAAGTGAGATTGGAGTAAATTTCTGACAACCATACAGGGTGCCAACGGGACTCACACCAGGAAGCCACAAACATACAGCACCACGGATGTGGCCTTGCAATTTGAGACATGTTTGTGAGTGGGTCTCCCCACTGTTAAGTCGCTGTTTGAAAGGAACACATGCCCAGTCTACCTTCTTTATAGCTTACTTACATTTTGTGGTGTTAAAAAGTCACCTCTCACTCATCCAGCAGATAATATCGGCCCAAGTCATGTGCCAGCTGCAGGGCCCTGTGGGGTAACGAGGCTGCCAACAGAACAAGCTTCGGCTCATGAGGCTCAGATTCTAGGTGGAGGAGGAGGAGGAGGGTGGTAAAGCAAGGCAAGCAAGTAGTGTGGGGAAAGCAGAGTGGAAGCAGCAGGGGGAGAGCTGGGGAGTAAAGCATGAGAGGCAGGACAGCGGAGGGGTGGGGAGCGCTGGGGGTGCCGGAGGGAGGAGCCAGGGCACGGGACAAGGTCGGGGGCAGAGCTTGTTTTCCCTCTGAGCTTTTCTTATACGGTAGGATTTTCATTACTCTTTCAGTTCATTGCTTGTTATTGGAGTTTATTCAAGGTTCTTAAATCTTCTTGGTTCAGTTTTAGAAATTCATCCATATCAAGATATTATCCATTTCTTCTGAATTCCCCAATTAATAGCATACAGGTTTGAGAAGCAGTTGATAACAATCTTCCGGATGTTGACATCATGATTTCACTTTTTCCAATTCTAATTGCATGGATTTCTGCGCCTTCTTTCCTTTTTATGTAAGATTGACTAAGGGTTTGTCTATTTTGTTTATTCTTCCAAAGAACCAGCTCTTGGATTCAGTGATTCTTTGTATAGTTTTTACATCCTCAATTTCAGGGATTCTTGCTCTCATCTCTACAATTTCCTTCTTTGTACAGTAAAACCTTGGATTGTGTGTACTTGTTCCATGAGCATTCTGAAAGATGAACGAACATTTCTCACAAATTTTAACTTGCTAAATGAGTGATTTCTTGCAGTACCAAATGTCACATGATCACAACCAACACAAGTGAGTCAATGTTCTCCCTCCCTCCCTCCCTCTCTCTCTCTCTCTCTCTCTCTCTGCAGAATTGTGATGGATCATCTCCCAATAGCAAGAGGTTATGGAAGAAATTTCATCTGCAGAGAAGAAGGTAGAGGAACCCTTCATCTCACATGTGATTAGGAAGATGTTTAAAATGTGGGAAACAGTGCCAAATTTGTGGAAAACATCACTGGAGTAGGGCTGTAGCAGTGGGAGTGATGAATCTGTTTAACAACAATGCAATGTCATTTCCACGAAATCCTCAGAAGGATGCAAAAGTACATGTCATTGAATAGGTTCCTTGTTCAAGTTGCATGAAAAGAAAAAATTCCATTGAGCCAACTGCAGTGACTCCATTACTGATAGGGAAATTTGTGCTACACAATAACCCTCCTCTGTCTGGTCTCCCTCACACCAGCCACAAAAGTTTTCAAAGGCAAGAACAAGTAAACATCTTTATTTTTCTTTATATTTTGTATTTTCTTTGCTATTTTGTATTAGACTAAAATAGTATAATCATTTTTACATGAATACTTTTGGGTTGTGGGATGAATCATCCAAGTTTCCATTATTTCTTATGGGAAAATTGGCTTTGATATACAAGCACTTTGTATTACAAACACATTTGTGGAAAAAATTATGCTCACAAACCAAGATAGATTTTGTAATAACCAGCTTTGGATATGGATAGGTCTTGTTTTTCTAGGACCATAAGGTGAATTATTAGGTTATTTATTTGGACTTCCTCTGTTATGTATGTGGACATTTGCAGCTATAAATTTTAATCTTTGGACTATTTTTATTGTGTCCTATATGCTGTGGTATGTTGTACTAGTATTGTCATTTAATTTTAGGAGCTATCTTATTTCTTCTGTGACCCATTGAGTATACTGTTCAATTTCCATCTGTTTGCATGATTCCTGTGAGTTCTCTTGCCATTGGTTTCTAATTTCATTGCACTATGATCTGATAATAGGCATGGTGTAATTTTGATTCTTTTGCATTTACTTAAGCAAGCTTCGTGGGCTAGCTGTGGTCTATTTTGGAGAAAATTTCATGTGCTCCTGAGCATGTATACTCCATTGTTGGGTGAAGACTCTCTAAGTATCTGTAAGTCTATTTGTTCAAAGGTTCGGTTTAACTCTGATACTCCTTGTTGATTTGTAGTCTGGTTGATCTGTGACAGTGGCATGTTGACACCCCACAATATAATTATATGAACGCTTGCCTGATCTTTTATGTCCAGCCAATTTTGTTTTATGAAATTGGGTGCACCATTGTTCAGTGTATGTGTGTTTATAATGATTATTGTTTCCTGTTGAGTTATTCTCTTAAATATGTTTTGCCTTTTCTTATTTTTTATTTTTATTCATTTTGTTTGTTTGTTTGTTTGTTTGTTTTTTGAGATAGGGTCTCACTGTGTAGTTGAGACTGACCTGGAACTCACTATGTAGCAGGCTGGTCTCAAACTCACAGTGATCCTCCTGCCTCAGCCTCCTGAGTGCTGGGATTACAGGCATGTGCCACCACGCCTGGCTCTTTTGCCTTTCCTGATCAGTTTTGGCTTAAAGACTACTTTGTCTGAAAATAGGATAGCTACTCCTGATTGTTTTGGGATTTCCATTGCACGGAATATTATTTTCCATCCTTTGATTTTTAGTGTTTGGATTTTGGGGAGGTTAAATATATGTCTTGTATATTTCATGCCACTGGATTTTGTTCCCTGTTCAATTTTGCTAATCTGTGTTTTGGGGAATTGAGATCAGACCCACTGAGAGTTATTACTGAAAGGTACTGACTTATTTCTGTTACATTGTTTTCCTGTTGCTGATTCCTTTTCTTTCTCTCCTTCGTATCTACTCACCCTAGCCAATGTATTCCTTCAGTTGGACATTAGGCACTGTTAACTTCACTGCCTCAAGGATATCCTTGAGAATTTTGGGGGTTCTAGTTCAGTGGTCGCTATGGCTTGAATCTAGACGTTCCCCCAAAGCCTCATAAAGTCATAAGTGGGGCTTTTCAAAGGTGGTTGATCTAGCATGTGTGAATGGTGGGGTTAAGAATATGATTCTTTGATTAAGAAGTGCTGCCATGCTAGGATTAAAGGTGCCCTACTCTGGAGGTGAGTGCTACCCATCCTAAGGGGTATATCCTGGGTAGAACATAAGGGACAGAAAGAGGGCTGCTGTTGTCACTTGCTGCTTGCTCCCTTCCTGCCTTCTGCCTCCCATGGACTGTTTCTCCTCTACCACCCTGCCTTGGAGCCAGCCAACTATGAACTGAAACCTGTACAAACTGTGAGCCAAAATAAACCTTTCCTCCTTTAACTTTGGGTATTGGGCATTTTGTCTCAGCAACAAGAAGAATAACTAAGATAAACTTCTTTAGGTGCTCTTTATCATAGAAATGTCTTATTTCTCCATCAATTTTGAAAAATAGTATTAAAGGATATGTCAGTCTGGCATATCAACTAGACAACAATTCACTCCAAGCTGTCCTGGCCTCTGAGTTTCGTGTTGCTAGATCTGCTGTTAATTTTAATGGGTTTTCCATTTGAGTGATTTGTTCCTTTTTTGTAACCGTTTTTAAGATTCTGTTCTAGTGTTGGACTTCTAGGATTTCTACTATGATGTGCAGCAGAGAGGTTCTTCTCTGATCATGGCACTTTGCGTTCTATGTGACTCACATATTTCTATATGTGAAATTTTCCCATATTTGGATAATTTTCAGCCATTATTCTGTAAACAGACTTTTAATGCCGTTTGTGCTGTGTTCTGATTTTATACTTATTCCAATTAATCTTAGATTAGTCTTCTTTATATCATTTATCAGCTGTTCAATCCACTTTTCATGGACTCCTCTTGTTCTTAAGGTATCTCTCAGTGATTGAGCAATGACCAAGACCCTTTCTTTTTATTCTCTGTCCTCACGATGGTCCCTTTCATGTTTGTTAGAATTGTTAATCTCCTGAATTTCTGTTTGGTATCTTTTCGTGGACTGTGATTCTTTTCTGTACTGGACATTCACTCATGTTTAGTTTAGCTCAGCTAGCTTTTTATTCATCCCTTCTGTTGGCTCACTGTTCATTTTATTAGGCCCGTTATTTGTTTAGTTATATCTTCTTTGAACTCACTAGGCACTTTATTGACCTGATGTTTTTATCTCCTCTGGTTTCTTTCAAATAATTCAGCTGCGTAGTTTGTTATTTCCTTCCCCTCCATTCCCCATGGATCAGCTTTGGAGGAGTTGGGAGTTTGGGGAGGCATCTTGTTACCTACTTTTCCCATATTTCTATATTTTCTTTGTTTGTCTGCTTCGCTAGGGCTTGAAAGTTGATTGTAATGAAAGACTGTTGCTGATATGGAAAATTTTTCAGTTGGTGTCTGCTTTTTAGTGCTGCCCTCTGGGTGATGCTTCTGTCCCAGAATCCCTTCGCCTGTGTTTATTTGGAAGGAAGGCTGCAGTTCTTCAAGAGTGGGCCACAGTACTGTTAGTGACACAAGGGCAATCCAGCTATTGGCATACAGAGAAAACCAATTGATAGTAAGAACTATGTCACTTTGGCTATTGTAATAAACTCAGCAACAAAAATAGTGTCAAAGACAAACTGGATATTAACATACCCTAAGAATCAATAATGTACCACCCTGAACTATAGGAAAGGGGTCTATAATTATTATATAAACACTAAGACCTAAATATTGACCTAAATAAATCTCTACTAAGTGGAACAACTTTACCTCACTAACAACAGAACAGTATTCAACAGTAATAGCACAGAGTTAACTATCTAAGTATTCACGAAGCTATTTTTTATTCCCATGACTCCTTGGCAAATAGTTTTTTTAAGAACTTCACAGGGATGGGACTCCTGGGATGATGCTAGGATCCAGATGTTCTCAGCCTTCTTTGCTATAAAGCCCTCTGGCCTTGTTTTGATTTTAAGAGACGAAGTCACTAATTTTACTTACACAGTCAGTCATCTGTTGTTGAGTGTCAGCCTCCTCTGAAGACATTCACGCAGCATGCATTTACACACTCCCAGTGACAGGGACCTGGTGACCTTACAAAGACACTCTTTCTGCTTTGGCACACTTTTGAGAAGTAAAAAGCTTTCTTTTCATGTTAAGACAAACAAGTCTGATTCCCTGTGACTTCCATCTTTGGGCCCATTTCTATCCCTTGGGGCAAATATAGAGTGGATTTAACAAGCCTTCTCTCCCTTTGTGTAACAGCTCTTCACCATGAATATAATCCCCTCTCGTTATGTCAAGGTCTGATAACCTGCAGGAAGGAGATATTCCTGGGTGTTGGTTCTTTCTCTATAATTGACTTTTCTGCTCAGTGCTCAGGTCAGACAAGCCACTATTGATCACTGATCTGAGATCCCCTCTGCTCACAGCCAAATGCAGTGCATCAGTGAAGGTACAGGTAAGGCACGGATGAAAGCCAGGCAGGACCTCTGTACATCTCCAGTTCA